TTGCTCTGTTGCCCAGGCTGGAGTACAGTGGCATAATCTTGGCTCACTGCAACCTCTGCCTCCTGGGTTCAATTGATTTTCCTACCTCAGCCTCCTGAGTAGTTAGGATTACAGGCATGCACCACCACGCCCAGCTAACTTTTGTATTTTTAGTTAGAGACCGGGTTTCACCATGTTGATCAGGCTGGTCTCGAACCCCTGACCTCAGATGATCTGCCTTCCTCAGCCTCCCAAAGTGCTAGGATTACGGTGGTAAACGGCTGCGCCCAGCCTACCTGGCTACTTTCTTTAAACATTGATATGGTTTGTCTGTGTTCCCACCCCAATCTCATCTTGGATTCCCATGTGTTGTGGGAGGGACCCAGTGGGAGGTAATTGAACCATGGGAGACAGGTCTTTCTCGTGCTGTTCTCGTGTTAGTGACTACGTCTCATGAGAACTGATGGTTTTATAAGAAGGAGTTACCTTGCACAAGCTCTCTCTTTGCCTGCCACCATCCACATAAGATGTAACTTGCTCCTGCTTGCTTTCTATCATGAGTATGAGGCCTCCCCAGCCATGTGGAACGGAGAGTCCATTAAACCTCTTTCTTTTATAAATTGCCCAGTCTGGGTATGTCTTTATCAGCAGCATGAAAACGGACTAATACAAACATCCTCCCACAGCCACCCAATGCCCTCTTTCTCTCCTTATTCTATTTTAACATGTTGTATTACCCTACATAAGATACTCCATGTATATCTTTTTTATTGTCTGTCTTTGACAACGAGAATGTAAGCACCATGAGAACAGGGAGTTTTTTTCTTTTTTTTTTTTTTTTTGAGATGGAGTCTCACACCATTGCCCAGGCTAGAGTGCGGTGGCACTCTCTTGGCTCACTGCAACCTCCGTCTCCTGGGTTCAAGTGATTCTCCTGCCTCAGTCTCCCTAGTAGCTGGGATTACAGGTGTGTGCCACCAGCCTGGCTAATGTTTGTATTTTTACTAGAGATGGGGTTTCATCATGTTGGCCAGACTGGTCTCAAACTCCTGACCTTAAATGATCCACCTGCCTTGGCCTCCCAAAGTTCTGGAATTATAGGCATGAGCCACCACACCTGGCCAGTTTTTTTTTTTTTTTTTTTTTTTTCTATACTGTTAACTATTATATCCCCAGACCCCAGAACAATACTTGCACACAATGGGTCATCAATAAATATTTGTCAAATGAAGAATGTTTTTTTTTACTATAGTCATTCACCCTGCATCTAGAAATACAGGGTAGTGATTATAAACATGGATTTTAAAATCACACAAATATAGATTCCAAAACCTGCTGTAACCCCATTTTAGCTGTGTGACCTTGGGCAAGGTATTAAACATCATGAGTATAGTTTTGTCATTGTTAAAATAGGTACAGTGATGTACAAAAAAGGAACTAAAGCACTGAGCACAGAACCTGGCCAGTGGTATCATTCGCACGTCTGAACTTTTGGGTGGTGTCTCGGCTCTGACCCCCTCAGCGCGGGTTTCCATTGTCTGCTGCCTGTTGACCACAAAACTCCCAACTCATCCCTCTCACTCCAGCCTTCCTCATACCCCAGTGTCTTCCACACACTAGGGCCAGAGTGATCCTCTGAACGTAAAACTGATTGATAATAGATATCCAAACAGACTGATCATTGACAATCGACAAATTCTTCCAAAAAAACAACAAGAAAACTGGCAAAAATTGTCAAAATCAACTTTTCTAGAACCCTGAAAGTTAACCACCAAAAGCTAGGAATAATCCGGGAAGCTTTTATTTAATTGCATGGCTGAGTCTTGGTATGAACAGCAAGCTTTGTGGTGTTTCACAAAGCCTGCCCTATTCCTATCCTACACGTGGTGGTTCCCTAGAAAACTCTAACAATCAGTAAAACAGCAGTCTGGTAGCCATCAAAGAGAGATCAATGGAGTTGGGGGCCCTTTAAAGCCTCGTTCCCATGGAACCATCATTATTTAGCCTCTGTAGTAGTTCCCTGGAAGACCCCATTCATTTTTGTTTGACCTGACTTAGAACTCACCTAGTACAAAGGCTTTTCTCCAGGGGTGTTTGTAAAAAAAAAAAAAAAAAAAAAAAAAAAAAAATTAGAGACCGTTGTTTAACTTTCTGGCTCGGTGCTTTGTGGCTGCCTAAGGCTGTGGATAACAGTTGGGCAGACAATAAGCTGATCAAAAACCATAAAGGGAAAATCTGGGAATGAGCTCTCCATAGTGTCTTTGACAAGCTTCACCTCCTTCCTGGGCATCTAGAAGGCCGCAGGCATGTGTAAGACTCTGCATGTGTCCAGGGCCATGCACATGCTCAGAAAAGGCCTGAGAAGGCCCAAAGAGCTCAATTCTGACTGATCTTGGGGCTCTGTAAAACCAGAAAGCGAAAGCTAAGGCACAGTTTCAACTGCCTGGCTGAGTGTTGAGGGAGCGCCCAACATGCACACAGAGCAGCCTTCCAAGGACTAGGAGATTCACTGGTCACTGGCGTTCAGGGACACCTCTGTCCATTCATTCACTGACTGCTGAGCTGACTGAGCAGACAGCTCAGTGGCTAAACATGATAAAGAATATAGACTTTACAGAATTATTTAGAAATACCACTAAGTAAAATAATAACAACAGACAGCAACGACAAGCCCAGGGCGGAGCAGAATCTGACTTCCAGATAGCCTGTCAGGGAACTTCTTACCCTCCATAGTCAAAAATCAAGTGAGCCAATTCCCATAATAAATTAAAAAGTGCTTTGAGATGAATGAAAATGAAAACACAACATAGCAACACTCAAGCAATCAAGGATGCAACTAAATCAGGGCTTATAGGGAATTTTGTAGCTATCAACATATTTTTAAGAAAGAAAGAAAAGTTTCATCTCAATAATCTAACATTCTATTCTAAGAAATTAGAAAAAGAAAAACAAAACCCAAAAATAAGCAGCAGGAAGAAAATAATAAAGATTAGAAAGAAAATAAATAAAATGGAGAATTTTTAAAATAGAGAAAATTTGATAAAACGGATCATCAAAATCACAAAACAATTAAACTGACAAAAAAAAAAAGAGAAGACTCAAATTACTAAAATCAGGTGTGGAGAAAGGGCATTATTTTCAAAAATAGAGTTTGAAGGATGTATTACGAACAGTGAGATGACAATAAATTAGATAACCTAGATGAAATGGACACATTTATAGAAACACACAAACTACTGAAACTCAGAAGGACAAAAATCTGAATATACATGTAACAAGAAAGATGTTGAATTTGTCATCAAAAAATTTTCCACAAAATAAAAGCCCATGACCAGATGCCTTCACTGATGAATTTTACCAAACATTTAATGAAGAATTAACATCAATCCTTCACAGATTCTTCCAAAATATAGACAAGGAGGGAACATTTCCCAGAAGCTGTCTCAGAGGCTGCCTGTCAAAATACCCTTAGAATAAAGTCTAAATCCTCCACACAGCATTGCCAGTTTTTTATAATCTGCCCCCGCCCCCCGCCACTGTCATGCGTGCAGCGCTCTAAACTTCCTCTGTCATTTCTAAGACCATCTATGCTCTTCTCACCTCCTTGCCTTCATACCCACCATTACTTCTGCCTGGTATGGCCTCTCTGCCTCCCCTTCTCTTACTGATTGCTGTCCATCTTTTGAGACAGCCCCTCTGCAGGAAAGTTTCCTGCACCCCTCCTAACTGTGTGTGGTGTCTCTCCTGAGGGCACCCACACCGCTGCCTATGCTCCTGCATCACTTCTGACTCTGGAAAAAATATGCCCATGCGTTTATCTGCCTCTCTTCCCAGTCCTGGAAAACAGGAACAGTGATTCCAATGGCTTGCAGGGTGCTTTCACTAGCAGGGCACATCAACCGTTGCCGAACAAACCACCTCAGGATAAGGTAAGGCACTCCTAAATTACTGCTGTTTCTGGGGCTAATTTTGATAATTTTATCCTAGTCCCAACAAGGACTCTCCTTCTGTAGAGACGGCATTCACAACAAAATGGATCTTTCTCAAGACTAAAATAAAAGAGCAGTTACAGGTTCAGACCTGCTCACAGAGTGAAACAGACACAGCTGGCCCGTGCCTGTCTGAGAACACGAGCTGCATTCTCTGGGAATGCCATGGTCACCTCTTGGGATGCAGCCCACCAGTAGTGGCCATGCCTGGGGCCACAGCGCTGTGTGGGTGCTGGAGATGCCAGGAGGTGAGGTGGGAGGCACGGGAGGCTGGAGACACCAGCCTGGTCTCTAAGGAGTTCAAGCGTCTAGTGAGGAGAAATGGGCTGGAAAACAGAAAAAGACAACGTTGCTTCCAGGAAATCTCAAATCAAAGTCAAGGAAGTGAGGCCAGCAGTCACTGCTCTAAGGTGCAGGGTGGTATTCTGAATAGAGGGACTTAAAACAGTATTTCGCAAGAAAAAACAATTCTATTATAGCCTAAATTTTAAAAGCATTTAAGTTTGTCTTTCTTCCCCTCTTGTAACTAATAGCTTAGTTTGAGCATGAAAATAAACTGGGGGGAAGAATGGCCTCCTTTGTTTGCTCATGTTTTTTTCCTTTTACTCACTATTGTGAAATGAGATTCTTTAATAGATGGTGTTTAATGTTCTGTGTTAACTTCCCTTAAGGCTCTGTTGAGCATGACAAATGTGTGGATCATTACTTCTCAGTTCTCCTTGAGAAGATAAAACAATAATAATACATTGAAGTTTGTATTTTAACCCAGTTTTTCCGTGTGAGGCCTTTAACTTTTAGTGGTGTTGACAAACATACACGTCCCATTTTCCAAGCGGCTGCTACCCTTCCCTTTAGGACATGATCACAGCTGAGCATAGTCTGGTGTCTCAGGGCATTCCCCGCCGCTTTACCGAGCTAGTGGGAGCCTTGGCGTCAGGGCAGCGCCATTGCGTGGTCACTTCTGACTCTGAGGACTACGGAGCAGTCCGGTGTCCTTCACAGTTTAGGAAGTAAGGGTCGCTGCTTTTGAATCAGATACCCTCTCTCTAAATGAACCTCTTAGAATGCGCCTGGGACCGCAAATGCGCTTCCTGTCTCCGCAGCATGTCATGGAAAGTTTCGAGCCGTGAAACAGGCTGTGCTTTTATCTTCAAAGCCTGAAAGCTCTTGGATCTAAGAAGGAAATCATTTATTTGTGTTGAAAAAGACAATTTGGTTTTAGGATGATTAAACACAGAGTTAACAAAAAATGAAAACCAAACGACTTTAGCCAAATAAGAAACTCACATGTTTATAAATCTGCTGCTCTTAACTCATTAATGTCATCCAAAAACCAGGCGTCCTACTGTTGGAAACTGCGATACTGAAGCACAAAATGAAATGGGTGGGGTGCGCGGAACCGAGAATGTGCCAAGCAGAAGAGTCTGTGCTCCGATCGCCTTATTAGGAGCTCCAAAAAGCAGACAGAAAAAACAGAGTTTGGAATAGAAACTACTGACCATGGGACAGTAACAAGGTGGGTCCAAAGTTATCCCCCACACACAAGTGCACACACCCCCCGGGAACCTATGAATGCTTGCAAAGGTTACTTGCTCACGAGGCCAGCAGGCTTTCTGCTGATCACCGTGTCACTGAATTGCAGGTTCTTCTGAATCCAATTAAGAAGAGCAAGGCCTGGTAGAAAGAAAGTGACTTTTAATTCCAAAGCTAGCTTAGGGGAAGAAGTACAGGCTTCCTGCCTTATGGGTACCACTTCACTTCTGAGGCAGAAAGTGGGCAATTTTGGCTGGGTGCAGTGGCTCACACCTGTAATCTCAGCCTCTGGGCGGATCGCCTGAGTTCAGGAGTTTGCAACCAGCCTGACCAACATGGGAAAACCCCATCACTACTAAAAATACAAAAAATAGCTGGGCGTGGTGGTGGGCGCCTGGTATCCCAGCTACTCTGGAGTCTGAGTCACAAGAATTGCCTGAACCTGGGAGGCAGAGGTTGCAGTGAGCTGAAACTGTGCCACTGCACTCCAACCCGGGCTACAGAGTGAGACTCTGTCTCAAAAAAAAAAAAAAAAAGTGGGCAATTTTAAAAGTAGGGGACTACACAGTGATGGAAGTGAGCAGGTGAGTGGGATGTGGTGAGGAGGGGTCTGTGTACTCTTCAGTGTCTTATCTACTGGCCAGTTGAATTGGCGTCTTCCTGGGAAGAAATAGGTTGTAAAGGTGGCCAAAAATTCTAGTGTGCATACTTTGGGTTGTAAATGGGCTGTTATCTGTTCAGGCAGCCTCCTGGTGGGTGAGAGTTCTGCTCTGGAGCTTCTAAGCACATAGTTAGATGAACTTGCCCTGTAGGGAGCGTCTGGTGAAGAGGAGGTAAGAGGCTATGATTACATTTCTAAAAGGCTAAGTAGGAAGTGTGGAAAAGTAGAAAAGAGAAAAGAAGAGAGATGAAAAAAATAACTATCTCTTAGAAAAATGGGGGTACTAGGCTACTACCATGGCCTCAAAGGACTCTGATAGATCAAGTCTGATATAGTTATTTAAAACATTGTTATTATTAGGAGATTAAATGACTGTGTGAGCTTAGTCAAGGTGTCCAGCCCTTGTGAGCCTCAGTTTATTAGTCTATGAAATAAGTGAATTCCTTTTACCCCGGCTGTGGGTGGAGATTAACAGTAACGGGTCAGCATTGGCACAGCACCTGGAGCAGAGCAGGTGCCTCCTACACAGTGCTGTTGCTGTGACTTTGTTCTTATTTCTAATCACGGTATAAAGAAAGGAATTGAACAAAATGAATTTCAGTGGTCTCTTTAAAAGGAATATCCAAGTGCTAAAGTAGTTTTTCTTTAAAATATTGCCTATAGTATCTAATCTTTGTAGATTTTTAAGGTTGTGGCTGTGTGTGTGTGTGTGTGTGAGTGTGTAATAAAACCTGCATATATAGCTATTTTTAAATCTTCTTAAATGCGTGGAAATTTCACTTTTAAAGAAAAGGATACCTTTAGATAAGACAGTTTGTAATAGAAACCACTGTGTGAAATTATTTCTAGAGAACTATTTATATAATATGCCACCTTAATCCAGAAAACGACACAGGCAAAGAAAATTAAAAGTTATAAAAAATAAAAATCAATTTTTAAAGTTTTTCTTTTTAAAGACCAACTACAAAGTAATAAAAATTAGGAGAAAGTTGTATCTAAAAACCTAAGCCAGCCAGCTCATGCCTGTAATCCCAGCACTTTGGGAGACCGGGGCGGGTAGATCACAAGGTCAGGAGTTCTAGACCAGCCTGGCCAGTATGATGAAACCCCATCTCTACTAAAAATACAAAAATTAGCTGGGCGTGATGGCACACGCCTATAATCCCAGTTACTCAGGAGGCTGAGGCAGGAGAATTGCTTTAATCCTGGAGGTGGAGGTTGCAGTGAGCCAAGATCACTCCACTGCACTCTAGCCTAGGTGACAGAGCAAAACTCCGTCTCAGGAAAAAAAAAAAAAAAAGAAAAACCCTAAGCCAATATCCCTATTATGACTAAGCACAAAAAAATCTAACTAAAAGCTAGGACAAAACAAGAAACGCACAGGTTGTAGAGTTTTCAATATTTAATAAAAGGAAGTTCATCAATTTATAAGGCCTCCATTTTGAAAGAAACCAGTCATATATAGGTCTTTATATATCAGTGATTTTATATGATTGTTTCTTACATGGATCCTCTTTCAAAGTCAAGGTGCCATGGATTTGTAGGTCTTTGATGGGATTTCCCTGGGGAAACCCCATCTGTACTAAAAATACAAAAAATAGCCAGGCGTGGTGACAGGTGCCTGGAATCCCAGCTACTTGGGAGGCTGAGGCACAAGAATCGCTTCAACCTGGGAGGCGTTCAAGCAATTGCAATACAGCATAGTCTGAGTAGGTAGCTTTTTGGTGACCGAGTTGGCATGATGTTAGATGTCTACACACTACACGTAAGGGTGACCCAATGAATGAGGAGAATGTGAACTGAGCACTTAATGCCTTGGTGGTGTCTACTGTATGCCAAGAATAGCCCAGCTGTGCTCACTGGGCTTCCAGTCACGTCTCCCTCCCAGGTATCTGGCTTTGGCAATTTCCTTGCTGCTCCTCCCTCTGAACTTCTGCTACTGTCTTCCTTGATGCTCTCCAATGCGGCTTTCTAAATGGGAGTCACACCAAGCTTTATTCTTTGACTATTTGGTACTAATGCGGCCCAACTTGAAAGAAGTTTCTATTGGTATTCGCATGTTGCCTGTTCTCCCCATTCAGGAGTAGAGTTTAATCAGGAAGTCTAGAGCCATCTCACACCATCCTTTAAACTTGTGCCCTATTTTTTGATAAACATAAGAAGCTCAGCCCACTCATGGGGGATGCATGAAGGATGAGCTTTGCCCTTCCATGACCTCCATCTGCCAAAAGAATCTGGAGAGCTTCACATTCTGCAGTTTTTATTCTTAAAAATGATAGGTCATTTTTCAGTTTGTGAAAATGAAATTATATAAATTTAAATATTCCTTTTCCAAGCCGTCTTCCCTCAGACTCCAATGCTGGGGAAGGGTATGCACCCTCATCTCCAAGAACTACCTAGAGGAAAGGAAGGTTAGCAGGCCCTTTGTCTCCTTGTTGAAGCTCATCTTCCTCATCGCTGTGTTTATTCATGCAACACAGGAGTGAGAAAAAGTATGTTAACCACAGGTGACCTGCTTGACAGGCAGGTATTTTGGGTGATTGAGAAGAAGGCCCAAAGCTTTGCTGGCAATGATTGTAGGAAGCAAAATTACAAATTTCCTGTGAAAATGGAAGAGCCAATTACATTTTTTTGCCTGGATGAAAGGTCGTCTCATCTCATCTCCACCCAGGGTGGGTTACAGAACCTGGACACAGGGCCAGGGCTCTTCTCAGGAAATGGTTTCCTGAATATGTCCAAGTGCTGAAGTGCAGTTGAAACCTCAGGGCTCCCCGCTGTAGAGACAAGACAAGAGCCTAGGAGAGGTTCAGCATGGTTTCTAAAATGGGTGGTTTTGAAGGGCCACATCATGTGACCTGCTAAAATGGGCTTGTCATCAAATATACCTTCAGAAAAGTTAACCTGCCTACTGGAATGTAAACAGTCCACCTGGATGCTGAAGACAGTTGCCAAAACCAAGAGCATTTAGCAAAATGTGTACTGGCCGTGAGTATCGAGCTATACTTTCTGATTATAACTGGACGGCAGATTTTGTTGTCTCCTGATAAGGTTACTGGCGCATGAGAGGAAGACCGCGTCATCACCTGGCACTGCAGAACATATGCTCATCGGAAGAGAACATCCATTTTTTCCAATGTTATCAACTCAGAAGTTCAGGAGGATAGGACAATAACATCATCTAGTGTTACGGCACTTGGGGTTTGCTATTTGCCCTCTCGTCTTCCTCATTCCTGTTTTTACCTTTTTGTGCTTTGTGGTGGTTCTTTTACACATTCTCCAGAGCTGCATGACCAGGCACCCTTGTGTAGGCCGTTCTGGGGGAAGCTTTTATGTAGGGAGTCAAAGATGAGTGGTGGATTAATAAGTTGCCGGAGTTTCCATATTGCAAACATTTTCTTAAATAAATGGAGCTGAGTGTGCCAATAGTCCATTGTAGAATAATTCCGCCTTACAGTACCTGCTTTTCATGGCATATATAAAACCAAGAGGTTCAGGCCTGTGGTTTCTAAAGAAGAGAGCTGGTGGCTATTGATGAGAGCTCGAAGGTTCCCCCAAAATCAATGCTGGAGAAACTGCAGGTGTGCAGGAGAAGCAGGCACGGATCTGAAGGTGAACAAGGAATAGTGAGAGAATCCTGGGGAGACTGAAGGTTGTGCTAACCGACAGGTGAGGGGCAGGTGGGTGGGGCTGTCACTGGCAGCAGGATGGAATTCAGAATGACACAGACTCATTATGTTCTGGCCCCAAACTACTTTCCCAATGTCATCTCCTGCCACTCTTCCCTAAACACCTTCTAATCTAGCAACACAAAAATCTGAATCCTAGGATGGCCAGGAGCACTGATTCTGTAGATTTGTTATACCTGCCTGGAACCCTTCGCAGAAGGGGAAGAAGAGAGATTGCTGTGGTTGGCTGGCTCATCAGCCGTGGGTTTGGGAGGTGGGGAGTGGTGTGAATGCTGTGAACTAACAAGCCTCTACCAGATGCTCCCCTGACACACCATGGTTTGCATAACTTCATGCCTTTGAAATGCTGTTGTAGCTGACTTGAAGTTTGCTTCACACGATGTCCACTGATTAAACTCCTACTAATCTTCCAAGACTCAGCTCCATGATACTCTTTCTCAGAAGCATCTCTTAACCCCTCCCCAGCCCCAGCTTCTTGCCAGCGAAGTGAGTGTCTGCCTTTCTCTGTGTCCACAGCTGAGGCTCCAGCGGAGATCACATGGCGCAGGTAGCACTTGGGTATGAAGCCATCTCCCCAGACTCGAGCTCCTGGGGGGCAGGGATCATGTTTTACAACTTCTTTAACCCCCATGGGATGGGCAATGCCTGGTATATAGATGTCATTCAATAAATGCTTAATTAATTAAATATCGATGTCTAACTAGTTAATGGATTATAATGGGTAATTAAACACTACAGAGGAGCTGTCCAGGATGGTTCTTTGGAATTCCTGCCTTGAGGGAGGGTAAACTCTGCTTCACTTGGCCTGCCTAATCCTAAAGGCGGGTGGGCCTGACTTGATGGCACACCTCCCTCCAGAAGGCCTGCCTGTTCCCCAGGCTGAGGCTTTCCCCTGAGCGGCCTCCAACTGCCTT